ATCGGTAGCAGATTTACCATACCAGGATTCTGATACGTTCTGCAGCTTGCTTCGTGTATATTGAAAAACCTGAAATCGAAGAATGCAATTTTTGAGTAGATCACCTCTGAGCCTTTTGCATTTCCTTGCCAGCTTTTCACTGCTTCCGTTGCATAGCGTCTTCAATAAAGTTACCAACTTCCTGGTTCTGAGATGATTGTAGTTGAATTTTTAAGAGAAGTGACATCGACACCCGCTGAAGCTATGAGGGGAATTCAGTTCTATTGAAGATGATGGTAGAACATTTCATAAAATTTCCCGTGGGATGTCTCACCGCAGCGCCTCAACATCGTTCAGCTTTATTGTCCAACACCGCTGCATTCTCCACATTTTCTCAGTGGTTCTTACTATCTCTCCAATCACAGCACTTAGAGCGCCACCTTGTCCTCAGTGTTACTTTTTATTTTACTTTTTACCACTTCGTAAGAGGAAGAATTTCGCAATTTTTACCTTTAATAAGGCAATAAATTGTAGCTTTTAGATCAATAGTTCTTTAACCGAGAATCTTACTGAAGGGACTATAATATATGTAATATTTGCTGGTACTATTGGACATTCAGAAATAAATCCATGGGTTCACTTGTAAGGAAAATAGAAATATAATCATAAAACTGTCAAAACCTCCGGTCGTTTGTTGACTCGTTTCGATCTCAGTTGTTAAGGTGTTTTCCTCGATGTTATGCTTTTCTTCTTGATCCATGTTGTCGTATTTCATTACTAACGTTCCAATTCATTTCTGTCGGTTTGGTAAGTGGTAACATTTCTCTTAGCCTGAGGTTTATACATCCAGATTGTCGTTCATAGGATCTTGGGTTCCATCGCCGACAAAATCTGAATGAAGAATTCTCTGTGTATACAGAAAAACGCTTTTCTCTGCGATGTATCTTAGGCACTGAAGTGCCACGCACCGGAAGCATGTGTTTGACTACAGTTTGCTCTACTGAGTGAATTGGAGCAGCGGAAAGAGCTTTGCTGATGTTTGACGAAAGAAAAGAGGGTAATCTTCGACTCTAGCCTGTTAAAATGTCATTTTTTCGTAACTGGGCTCAGTTAACTAGTGTTATGGGTGGAATCTGGACATCGCCGTGTGCGAAAATACCCACTAGTGCACATTATACCACCCCAGCTGTCTCTTGAAGTCAAAAAGACACCACTGCCAAACGCACTATTATTATATAACTGTTTGCTTTTTTCTGTGCATCCATATTCTAGTACAGTAGTATTGTTTTAGCTTTATATGACTTTTTAATTGAGATACTTTTTATTTGTCATTACATTAGACTATCTTGTTGTTTTCGTATCACATTTGCAACCTTATGAAGCCATAATGAACCACGAGTAACAAATCAGTTGAATGCGTTAAAACATAGACTAAGTGTAGAAAAAGAATTTGTAAAAAGTAATTTTATTGTGGAACTGCGATACAATTAAATCAGAAGACACTTAAAATATTTTAAAATTTATTGTACTTTTGCAGATATTAAAAGTCAAGATGCTTAGATTAATACTTTAGCCATGTCTCTCCCGGAATGTTATACCAACTTTTATTCACTACTTCGATAATATAATAGCAGTTTTTTAAATGTAATGTTATTTGTTGTTCGCCTTTCATACCTCATACTACGAGTGATGAATAGTCCTTTTCAGTATTATACCTTTGTAAGTCCATTACAAAAACACACGGAAGCAAATGTATCAAAGTTTCGTATCATTATTCTCTATTTATTCACTCGTCGTATCTAATTCCTTGTGCCTGCTTTATGGAGACCGCCACCAAAGGGTAATTACTCCTGCCTGAGTTTAACATTCATATGTGTCAGCAGACTTGTTACATCCAGATAGATCTAAGTTAATTTTCTAAGCCAATAATTGCTGTTTCTTTGAACTTCCTTACCACGAGAAAATCTAAGATTAACTTGAGTACAAATTAGAGGATATCAAGAGGATGTATTTCCTCTCTTGTTTCCGGGTGGAGCAGATCTTAAATATTTTATAGCGTCTATTCGTCTTAAACTTCGAGATTTTGTAATTTCAGTGTGCATTTCTACTCCATCCTTCGAGTTTCGTGCATTGGCATGTTTACTTGCCCTGCACGTCGGCTACGTTACTGTAAGTTCTCATGCCTTAACGTGAAAGAATAAATTAGAGGAAGCAGATGAGACTGAAAAGTAGGGTTTACTGGGTTGGTGTGTCCTCCGTTCTGTACAAAAGCGATCTACTTTGCACTTCAGCATCCGGATTTAATTTCGTAGACTCTAAGGAGAAATGTCCTGTATTTAAATGGTAAAAAATATACGTTTCAATTGACCATGCGGTCAAAGACTCATGTAGACTTCGGCCGTTCGATCTGTACTACACAACACAGTCACAAACATTTTTTGCGATGACTTGTCATATTTGTTTTGTAGTTGAGAAACTATGAGAATAGTATTTATCTATAAATATAAAAACAAATTTTAAATCATATAGCTTTTTTTCTGCGGTTGACAGAAGGGAGATAATTTTGATATTGGCTTTATCTCTCTCTTGTTTCTAGAGTCTTTTAAGTATAACTTATTGTCAGGGTATAAAAATTTACCTTCGGTGCCATACTGAAATAAATATTATTTTAGAAAGTTTAATAATGACGTCACCTTATTACGATATGTTTATTTTCAAGTTCCTCTATCACTACTTCTATAATTACGTGGAGCTAATACGCTTATTTATTTTCTCCGGCTCTGAGAGTTAAGGCAAAATATTCAGCGTTATCAGTTCTCGAATCAGAAAGCAATTAATTAAATCACCACTGTAAATTTCCTATTTCGGGTAGGATACAAAACTGTGAAAGTTATGGTTTTTACGGTGTTCATGTTCATTGACAAATCTCATTTATTGATGTAATAATATTATATCTGATTCGTAGGAACTTGCTGTCGCCTTATTTGGGGTTTAAGTGACGGATAAACAATGACTTATATGAAAATATAACCGGTAGTAACAAATTGGTGAATAATTATGATTGATCGGAACTGCGGTACGTATTGAGATAAAAATGCGGCTCATTGTATTTTGAAAAAGGAGGAAATAATTTCCCCCCAAATATCGGTTTTATCGCATGAACGCAATGTTGTACCTGAAAGACTACATTAAATGTGGAGTGCTAAATCTCACTCAGATAGCTGTTTCTGGATGTTTTTCTTCAATTTATTCAGAGAACTGCTGGGACAGTATGTCAATCAACGACCGCTTCCTTACAAACTAATCCAAATTCGTAATTCATAATAAACTCCAATTCTACGTTTTGTAACCTGTGTAACTGAGAAAGTGTCGATAAAGTAAAATAAGTACAGAGAAGGAAGAATTTCTTGTCCAAAAAAAGATGGCGGCTTTGGTATTCTGGGTTGTGATGCTGTGAAGTATTTTTGGCGGATATCAGTGTTTCAGAAGAACGTGTCGCTTAGATCTCTCCACGTGTACCCTGAAGGTGGAGAACACCTACAAGACTGCATTACGTTAACACACAGAAGACCACAACAAGAAAGAAAATATGAGAGTAGATTCATGTATGCAACAGAACATATTAAACGCAGTTCTTAATATCTTATTTGTCGTTATCAGTACGTTTAGTCGTTCCTATTGGCACTTTGTAGCAATAAAGTACAATTAGACATTTGAGAATCAGGTACAATACAGAAAGTAAGTCAGTGCCGTGAAATATACGACTGAATTTATTATCTCTTTCTCTGCATTCATTCTAAACCAATGAGCATAAAATTAGTCGAATTTAAATGTGCTGAAATTTTCGGATGGTACAAGTTACAGAAGCCATTTGCTCGTTCACCGCATTTAGAAACGCAAAGGGGTAGGTAGAAACGCATACATGCTGTAATAGCAGAATTGCTGTGTTAGTGGGTTGGTTTTGTCAATAGCCTGTAGATGGTTCCGCGACCAACACATATGCGAATTCCCCCCTCTTCTCTTTCAGTTCATATATGCGTAGTTCTATCTCCCTGCCTCAATTGAAGCCAGCGCTGCACTAAACACTTGATTTATTGCTTAATAAAGCAGACTGCACAGGCACCACCAGCGTTGGTCGGCTTGTCGTCCATGTACACACCGCTTCCACCATTGTAGGACGTGGGAGACACAGACACTCGTGAGTTAGTGAAAGTAAACGCTTTTGTCTCCTGTCATAACACACTGAATATATTCAAAACAGCGAAATGTTTAAATATGACTGTTAGCACAGTTTATGGTAGCTTTCAAGGGCCTCCTTATCCGCTTGGCTGCTGGAATCAAGAATTAGAAGTATTCTCGTGGCAAGGGATTCCAAACAGAGATGGGAGGAAAATATCAAAATGTATTTTCAAGAAACAGGGTATTCGGGTCAAATGCATGGCTTCTATGAAGACGGTACTGAATCTACGGGTTAATTGAAAGTAAAATTTATTCCTTGTCCGGCCGAGCATTTAATTGAATATTCACTACACGGACAGTGTGTACTTCAGTAAAATCTCTATTTTATATCAACGTTTGTGTGATGAGTTGTTTATTTTTTGTGGAGGGGTGGATTCATGGTTCAGTTTGAGACCAATGTAGAACGTATAAATCAAACTTTAATTCACCATTTTCCAATATGAAATCTAATCAAAATTTAGTAGCTTCGTAAATGAAACATGTGGACAGACTGATGGATGGGCCGATGAATACTGTTTCCTTTACGTGCGTCTAATTTGTGTACGTTGAGAAGAAATTCCCGATCGCTGATTGTTCCCCAGCCACAAATTTCGCTTCAAATAGGGTAGTGACTTCCAGAGGACAGACATTATCGCTGAAAATTTAATAACTATTGCAGTCACTTCCTCTAAAACTCTAGGTTTATCGCCCACTCTAATTTGAAGGTAACACGCATGCGTGGTTCAAACATGGCCGTTAAATAAGTTAGGGAGCGATCAACCTGCCAGACGCTTCAATTCCTATGTAGAGCGCTGCTCAGTGGGGCTGTGGGTCTGTCTTGTATATGTCGCACTGGCTCCTACCGGTAGTGGACAGACAATCATGACATTCGCGCAAGACGGGCACATGTCCACATTGAATTATTGGTGAGTAGGTGTAAACCATTTTTACACAGGGAGCAAATTAGAATATCTGAATACCTATCTGTGCTGTAAAGCAGAGTATAAGAATAATTTAAATATTATTTTAAACACTTTAATAACATACTCGTAATGAATAAGAAATAATACCCAACATGGCTCTTCAGAACTTAGCATTCTAGAGGTGGGAAATTATGAATTCGATACTAGGCTCGAAGGCCAGCTTGTATTTTTCCTCCCTCTTTCCAACCACTCACTTTGTGTTCATACTAATAAAACCACTCAACAAGGTTTTTATAAAGCGATTGAAAGCTAAGTATATCGACTTTTCTGTATATTAAATTATGGACTTTATTTGACTGAAATTAAACTTGTGGTTACTGTTGATACATCATAGATTCATATTATGGTTGAAAATGTAACGAAAACACGAAGAAAAATACTCGTTTTTTGTATGGGCTAAAATAATGCTAATCTGATTCACACAGAAAGTTATTTTTCCTTAATATGAACAATGTTGTCTTGCCTTTACCATTACTGTCGTTTCATACTGTGACGTGATGCACAATTTTTATGTTTAGATGTATGATGAGAAAGTCACATTTAATGTGAACAGTTAGTTCTCGATCATGTCACCGACATCTTGTTGAATAGTTTTGCTAGTATCAGTACGAAGTGTGAATATGGTACGGAATTTTCTGACAATTAACTTCGCGGGTAAGAATCTATGTTGAGTTCGTGACAGTCGCTCAGCTAATAAAGAAACAACCCTTCTGTTATATGGGACCCGAAAGCTTATGAAAAATACCAAACACCGAATCCTATCCTGATCGTATGAGTTCAGTCCACATCCTCCAACTCTTCGTTCGTTCTTGTGATGGAAATGTGTACTCGATCGGAGATCTTGAATTTATTGTTCGCACATAAAGCAAGCAGATTCATTCGAGGAATCGCAGAGGAAATTTTGAACAAGTGTGTCGGTAGACCTACAACATCGAAAGGTAGAGACTGTCGAGAAAAGTGCGGGCTGGCATGCACGATGCCGGAAGCAGTTCTATTGCACGGTTACTGGCGACATTTTCGAAATGACTGCGTAGGTTTCCCCTAGAGACCCGACTGCCGTCAACGAGTTACCAACGAAGTGATACGGCGTCCTTACTGTATTTCTCTTCTGTGGCGAAATGTACCCTGTTGTATCTGCATCGATGTGAAGTCACTGGCTGCCCGGAACCGTCCGAGAGTTCTACAGAAACTTATCCAGTAGACTCTTTCAGGTCCCATTAAAATATGAAGCTAAGATGAATGTCGTCTGAGATGTTGCTCTGTAGAAACTGACCGAAGTTATAGAAGTGCTCATTTCCTCCATCACCAGAGCGATGAGCGGCCCTTCGATCGATCCTCCTGGCGGCCCCAGAGTGTGTGTGACGATGGAACTGTAGGAAACGAGAGACCAAACCACGGTCTCTGTGTCACAGAAGGAAAGACGTAGATCATAGTCACTTGGGTTTTCTTGAGTTGAAGTGCTTCGAACGTAGCGTAGAATTTACTCCCTATGGAGGATGACTTGGTGAGATTTCGGGTTCCCAAGGCTGCAAGTATGACGACGCCTAGCTTGTCATCTCGAGTTTTCAGATGCGGACAGCCACACATATAACTGACGATAACAATGGATGCGTTTTAGCAACTTAAAAATCCGCGAAAGAATTCACGAACAATTCAGAGAGGAGCAAGTTCTTCAAATATCCCATTAATACGACTGATAGCAGCCGAGTATCATGTACTTTCTGTAGTTGCATTTCTTACTAAATGAGGCCTAGTATATTATCTAGTTTCTCAGTTCTAGATTCATTAGTGCGCCGACAGAAATTTTAAGATTGTGAGCACAAACTAGAAATTTCTTGAAGATTTTTGTCTTGTGGGTTGTTGCGCTGTGTAGTCTGGTAGATGTTTACCAATTTTCGCCCTGATGACGGAGGCAGTATGACCTCTGAAACGTTGGTAAACATCGACCAGACTACACAGCGCAACAAGCCAGAAGACAGAAATCTTTATAATCACCGCTGTGAAAACCTCAAATCATACATGGAAATTTCTTGTGAGTGCACTGTAAGCAGGAAGGCCCGGTGCTGGTCAATCGAACATCCCGGCGAGAAGGACAGTTCGTTTGACAAATCACTGATACGGATCTTCAATTATTCACAGTTACCAGGAGAATTTCTCGCTCCGCAATGCGACGATCTCGTACCTGTAGTCACGCTTCTCATGAACAGACAGGCCTACGTTTCGCACTCGTAAACAAGCTGTCTGGCATGTAGTACGTCAACACCATACGGTGGTCAAAATTAAGCTGTTCATAATGCAACTTCGTAGTGGATGCTCGGTATAAAGCGTGGGCCCTGATCGCTCGGGTACTGGAATCATGAGTTCGAATCCACTCGAGGCATTAGTGTTAACGTCGTCCTTTGGTGTGATGTCCTATGTAGACAGAGGTCTGTCATCGGACTGTTACCTAGACAAAGGAGTCCTAACGAATGTCGAAAGAGATTCATAATTCCTAAATACTATAAAGTTTGTTATTTCCAGTCTAAACTGACACGTGGGGCATCATATTGAGCGAGTTTGGAACAGCGTTTTTGTGTCAAATGGTTCTGAGAAGTATGATGACAATTATGCAACGGTCTGGTACAATTTTAGTGTTGGTTTTACTGTCTTAGGTGTAGTTCCAGCTGATGGCTGTGTGACTCACGCTCTGCGGCCTAGTTCTCTGTGATTGCTGTGGGTAATAAACCGTTCTTTGTCCTTGCGTTCACAAATATTAGCATGTGTTCTCTAATGTTTGTTGGGCATGGTTTGATTGGATCCTGGTTGGCTTGTTGTTCTGGGAGGAGGGGGGGAGGTACCCTTGTCGTAAAATCTAACCAGTAATGAAAATACGATTGTCAAGTGAAGAAGTTCCAGAGTTGTGTTGCTATTTTAAAACTATCCGATCTATTGTTTTCTCTGGAATCATATTTTTTTTATAATCAGCATTAATCGATAAATTGTGAGAACAGCGACGAGCATAAAGTCTTCTGAGATGTAGCACTATGTAGTCTGGTGGATATTGACGGACGTTTCAGAAGACTTTACCGTCTCACCCTAAGTAATGGTTGTTCTACAAATCTGTTAGAATAGAAATGGTCATCAGTGTTTACTGCATTAATGAATCTACTCGTAATATGTGTATAATAGCCAATGTCTGTCACTACATTGTGCGAATGCACCGTTCGTGCGAGGAGGAAAAGATTTAAATTAAGTTGTGGTGGCGGCTGTGGTAGCAAAAGACACAGATGAGACTGTGGTGATATCTGTGGCAGGGTCTAGTGAAGTCTGAGTTCAGCGGAAGTCTGGAGTTTGGAGCTAGGCTGTCGCTTTTGTGTTGTTGCGCTTAGCAAGAATCTGGTCTTGGTCACCAGTTATTTGTTTTCACATTTGATTTACAGTGTACAAGAATTCTATAAATTTGTAAATAACTAAATACTCGTGTGTGTCATTGGCACTCTTGAAGAATAGCGTAAGTTAAACATAGTTTGTATTGATTTAATCCCTTCCAATTTGTTTAAAAATATTGTGATGATTTGTTACCACAAATATTCATAACCTACAGATGTATATATGGTGTATTACAACTTTGTTGACGATGGGTGGGATTAAATTCAGGATTACAATGTGATATGGGTATTATGGATACTTGAAGGACCATTATATGTAAGTTCTGCTTATATACTTTTACATGTATATGCACACACGCACACACAAACATTTCGTTTAATAGTAGTTTCTGAAACCGGGAGTAACCACGGTTGCAAATAAATAGCTCAAAAATACTACGCGGAATTGGTAGAAGACGATCATTAATATTTAAGGGATAAGAACGGCAGGCTTGTTACTAAGTAGATTAAATGAATTGCCTGATTTTGTATTTGGGACCATTAGATCCCAAACATTTCTACCGTTAAATACACGTATGTATATATCTTTGCAAGAACTTGAATTTTGGTGAAATATTTCAGCGCCAGTTAACGAAAATTGTTTTAAAAGTCGATTTAATTTTTTCATGAACATGGATTATAAATCGTATTTCTTCTCCCTACAAGGAGAGAATAAATACGATTGATAATACGCACTGTCTGTTCCGCAGTTTATATGAAACAAATAACACTCGTAAGGTGTCAGACATAAAGAATAACGTATTATGAAGGATTGTCGGGTGATAATTAGTTATATACGAGTATTAATGTGTTTTAATGTAATATTTCTTATTTAAGAATAACAAACACAGGCCTATTAATTTTACAGATATATATTTCACTGGTTTTAAAAATAATTACAATTCTTTTACTGAAGAACATGACGAAGTAAAGCGCCATCTACACTTCAGAGTTAGACCCTACTTTAATCAATGCATCATTCACCCTTTTCTGTATCTCACTCTTTCAAAATCAATATTTTCTAGAAAACTTCGACTAGTTTCACCTATTCTCTAACTTGCTCTTGAATCTTCATAGTTTTTCCTTTCTGTAAGTCGGATGTTTTTATTTCATTCCCCTAGAGAAGCTTTTATCTTTTCATCCGGCACTAAACCTTCAAGCATGCATCAGACATGGGCAGGGATTGTTCAGGAGCGATGCTTGGAGAATAGTGTACCCCAAGCTTTGGTAAGGGAGATAGAGTCTTCACAGCGAAGTCTATTTTAGGTTTCAACGCACGATAGAGTCACACATCACGTACTAAATGGGCATAAAGCACAAACCAGACTATTTTTATATTTTATCAATACCTGTTAATGTGATTTTGCTTTTGTGAGATAAGACGTTTTTGATCACCTAAGTTTCATTTGGGATTTGTTTATAAAATGCATTTATACTCGATTGAAGGTGTAAAATATTGAATAAGCGTAACAACTCAGTATCACATCTAATCAAAATTTGTAGAGTAGTTTCGGAATTTAAAAATGCGGACGCGAG